ACGGAGGTGCCAAGTAGGTTACATTAGGAGATGATGGAGTTTTGAGATTGCAAGGTCGAGTTTGTGTGCCAAATGTGGATGGTCTCCGGGAGTTGATTTTAGAGGAGGCCCATAGTTCCCGGCACTCTTACCATCCGGGCGCTGCGAAGATGTATCAGGATTTGCGTCAGCATTATTGGTGGAGGAGAATGAAAAAGGACATTGCTGGCTCGGTGTTTGAATTGTCAACAGGTTAAGTTCGAGCATCAGAGGTCTGGTGGTCTGTTCCAGAAGATTGAGATTCCTGAGTGGAAGTGGGAGCGTATCACTATGGACTTCGTTGTTGGGCTCCCACAGACTCAGAGAAATTTTGATGCAGTGTGGGTCATTGTTGATAGGCTGACCAAGTCAGCACATTTCATTCTTGTGGCAGTCTCCTATTCTTCCGAGAAGTTAGTTGAGATTTATATTCGGGAGATTGTTCGTCTTCATGGTGTGCCCGTGTCTATCATTTCGGACCGAGGTATGCATTTTACCTCACATTTCTGGAGAGTAATTCAGTGAGAGTTGGGCACACGGGTTGAGTTGAGCACAGCGTTTCATCCTCAGACGGACGGGCATTCCGAATGGACTATTCAGATTTTGGAGGATATGCTCCAAGCTTGTGTCATTGACTTTGGAGGCTCGTGGGATCAGTTTTTGCCTTTAGCAGAGTTTGCCTACAACAACAACTACCAGTTGAGTATTCAGATGGCTCCTTATGAGGCTTTATATGGTAGGGGGTGTCGGTCCCCGGTTGGATGGTTTGAGACGGGAGAGGCTCGGTTGTTGGGTACGGATCTGGTGCAGGATGCCTTGGACAAGGTCAGGATAGGCTTCGTGCAGCTCAGTCCAGGCAAAAGAGTTACGCCGACCATAAGGTTCGTGATTTGGCATTCATGGTCGGTGAGCGGGTATCGCTTCGGGTGTCGCCTATGAAGGGCGTGATGAGATTTGGGAAGAGGGGCAAGCTTAGCCCTAGGTTTATTGGCCCGTTTGAGATTCTTGATCGAGTGGGAGAGGTGGATTATAGACTTGCGTTGCCGCCGAGTTTATCAGCCGCGCATCCAGTGTTTTATGTGTCCATGCTTCGGAAGTATCACGGTGATCCATCCCACGTGTTAGACTTCAGCACTGTCCAGTTGGACAAGGACTTGTCATATGAGGAGGAGCCGGTAGCTATTCTAGACCGGCAGGTTCGTCAGTTGAGATCGAAGAGTTTCCTTTCAGTTCGTGTTCAGTGGAAAGGTCAGCCTACTGAGGCATCAACCTGGGAGTCCGAGTCCGATATGCGGAGCCGTTATCCCCATCTTTTTCCCGACTCAGGTACTTCCTTCTTATGTCCGTTCGAGGATGAACGGTTGTTTTAGAGGTGGAGGATGTGATGACCCAAAAGGTCATCACTTGTTTTAGAAATAAATTCTGCGTTCTGAGGCCTTAAAAACCTCTTTCAGCATCACCTCGATTTGTGTGCGCAGTCCGGGCGCGTAGCCGGAAATCCATTATGTGAAAATCTGTGAAAAATGATGAATTTTGACTTTAATATGAATTTAAGTTAACTTCGGTCAATATTTTGGGTAAACGGACCCGGACCCGTGATTTGACGGTCCCGGAGGGTCCGTAGGAAAATATGGGACCTGAGCATATGCCCGAAAATGAATTCCGAGGTCCCAAGCCTTAAAAATCAATTTTTGGAAGAAATTGTTTTGCTGAATTATCTAAGAAATGAAGAAAAGAATTAATGTTTGAAACCATTGTTATCGGGCCCGTATTTTGGTTCCGGAGCCCGCTACAAACTTGTTATAGGATTTGAATGATAACTGTGAAATTTGGTGAAAAATGGAGTCTATTTGACGTAAGTTGGACTTCCGGTTGATGAGTTATGAACTTTGAGTGTTCTTGATGAGAATGTTGAGTTTTGAGGTTTAATTCATGGTTTTACATGTTATTTTGATGATGTGATCGCACGAGTAGGTTCATATGATGTTTTTGATTTAGTATGCACATTTGGTTTGAAGTCCCAAGGGGTCGGGTGAGTTTCGGGTAGGTTCCGGGATGTCCTAGGCTTAAAACATAGCTGTTGTAGGTTCAGAGAAGTGCATATCTCTGAACCCGCCAGTGCGGTCCGCATTCATTTTGTGTTGTCCGCGGTGGGGGCTTTGCGGCCGCACTCGATTTTGTGCGGTCTGCACAGGTTCACTGGTCCGACTTCCGAAGCCTATATCTTTTGATCTACAAGGAATTTTAAGATGATTCAAAAACGAAAGTTGTAGCCCTTCGTGTCTTGTTTCTAGAAAGATAAAGAAATCACAATTTGGAAATTTGTAGAGAAAGTTATGGCCAAAATACTAAAGTATGTCACTGCAGTCAGCATTGTGAGCTCCGCGGCCGCACTCTTTTTTGTGCGGTCCGCATAGGGGGTCTGAGAGGGGTATATTTAAACGGGATTTTCAGTTATTTTTTATTTTTCAAAACCCCAAAAACATAACAGGCGATTTTTCAAACAACCTTAAACATTAGTATGTGATTTCTAACTCATTTTCTTTACTCCTTAACTTCTTTTTACAAGATTTCATCCTAGAATCTAGGGTTTTCATAGTGGAATTGGGAATTTTGGGAAAAACTTAAGAATATTGAAATTTGGGGATTTAGACCTTAAATTGAGGTCGGATTCCAAAACCAATTATATATTCGGGCTCGGGGGTGAATGGGTAATCGGGATTTGGTCCGAATTTTGGGTTAAAACCAAGCGGGCCCGAGGTCAATTTTTGACTTTTTGGGAAAAACTTTAGAAAAATTTATTTCCATGCATTAGAATTGATTCATTTAGTACTCATTAATATTATTAAGTAACTTGTGGCTAGAGACGAGCGAGTTGGTGGTGGACTCAAGAGGTAAAGCGATAGTTGAGGCTTGAATTGTGTTCGTGGCATCGAGGCAAGTGTTTGGCCTAAGCTTAGCTTGAGGGATTAGGAGTTGTGTCTTATTTGCTATGTGTTAAACTGTGGAGTACGACGTATAGGCATGGTGACGAGTATATATACGTCGGTGTCAAGCATGCCCGTGAGTCTTGTATTGTAATTGCTATGACTCCGTTGTGGTTTATTCGTGCTTCATATGAGGATTATCATCATTGTTTCCTTGCTGGGACGTTGTTATCATATTATTGTTCCCTTGCCGGGATGTTGGTATTATATTATTGTTCCCTTGCCGGGATGTTGGTATTATACTATTGTTCCCTTGCCAGGATATTGATGTTATATTATTGTTCCCTTGCCGGGATGTTGTTGATATATTATTGTTCCCTTGCCGGGATGTTGTTGTTATATTATTATTTTCTTGCTGGGATTCTTTTATGATTGGTTTAGATAAATAAAATAGGAGCGGGTTGTACGCCTGCAACGGTAATACATGAAATGGGAGCGGGTTACACGCCTGCAACGGAAATATATGAAATGGGAGCGGGTTGCACACCTGCAACGGAAATATATGAAATGGGAACGGGTTGCACGCCTGCAACGGAAATATATGAAATGGGAGCGGGTTGCACGCCTGCAACGAAAATATATGAAATGGGAGCGGGTAGCACGCCGCAACGGTAATTATATGAAATGGGAGCAGGTTGCACGCTTGCAACGGTAATTATATGAAATGGGAGCAGGTTGCACGGCTGCAACGGTAACTATATGAAATGGGATCGGGTTGCACGCCTACAACGGTAACTATATGAAATTGGATCGGGTTGCACGCCTACAACGGTAACTATATGAAATGGGATCGGGTTGCACGCCTGCAACGGTATTACATGTGTACTTGTTCTTCTTATTTTCTTATCTTTTGCTGGTAATTGATTTATGACGTTCCTTACATTTCTCTACGGTTATTCTGTTGTTACCCGTTACTCCCCCCAGCATGTTTCCCTCGCCCAATTTTAGCTTTAATTATCGGCTTTTATTTTCCGCTGTATATGATTTAACTGCACAGGTTTATTTGGTAGTCTGGTCCTAGCCTCGTCACTACTTCGCCGAGGTTAGGCTAGGCACTTACCAACACATGGGGTCGGTTGTGCTGATACTACACTCTGCACTGTGTGCAGATACTGATACCGGGGTGTTTGGACCGCAGTGAGGGTGCTGTCTTCAGTCCATTCAGGCGACCCGAAGTAGTCCTGCAGACGTCCGCGGCCTTGGCGCCTCCTCCTATCGTTTCTCCTTCTGTTTTTACTTATTCAGAGACAAACTTATGTATTTCCATTCAGACCTTATTTGTAGTATTCTTAGATAGTCCGTGACTTGTGACACCAAATTCTGGGTAGTATTGTACTTTAGATTATGTAGCAGTGGATTGGTTGAATTATTAAGGTTTTCGTCTTCCGCATTTCTGGTTACTTAATTTATTCCGCTGTTTAATCACTTATTATTTTAAATTGTTGAACATGTTTAAAAAAAGGAAGGTAATAATTTTATAATATTTGGCTTGCCTAGCTTCCACGAGTAGGCGCCATCACGGCTCCCGAGGGTGAGAAATTCGGGTCGTGACAGATTTACCTCAATTTACCTTTCAATAGCAGATTTCGAACCTCTATCTTTCTTTCTAGGGCTTGATTTCGACATTAATTCAGAGCCCCAGCCCACTGACAATGAAATTTCGCGAGATAATGGAGATAAATCAGTGGAGAGTCGTGGTCGTATTCATGGAGAAAGACTGGCGTTGAGAGAGAGGGGGGGTGGAGAAAAATCTGAAAGAATGAGAGAGAAAAATAATACAAAGCGTATTTTATGGCTTAAGGGTAGGAGGTAACCATAAATAGATATTTGGTTATAAAAATCAAAAGGTAGCTATGGAATATTATTTTTTAAAAGAGTATTTATTTAAAATAAATAAGGTATCAATCTTTGTTATGAGAGTAAAAATTTCAATAAAAAACCTATATGGGCCTGGATCTCATATAGAAGAATGGCTGACGCCCAACATACTAATGTTACAAATGGACCTCAAATAAGGACCTAAAGTCCGACTTACATTCGGCCCCAATTTCAAATTACATTTCGGCGGAATACCCCTCGGCGGCGAGGTTCCGGCGAAACTCCTCACAAATCTCTCTCTCCCATCGAGTTGTAAGTTCCCTCTTCCATTCCTAAATTTTACTAAAACCATAATTCGCATTCCTATTTTCAGGATTTTTATTTGAGTTCTTATTGCTTATTACAAAAGATTAAACAATTATCTTATGTTGTGAATTTCAGCCATAAATGTTGAATTTATTTACAAAATAGTTCTAATTATTCAAGCTTCCAAATTCTAATTATTGATTTAAGCATAGTTATTAGATTCTCTGCTGTTAAAGAGTTGAATTTAGTTGTAAAAGTAAAGGATATTTTGTTTCTTGCGAAGAAATTAGGGTTCTTAAAGGGAATGGCGAAGCCATAATTTATAAGGTGATTACAAAAAATAAGATAATGTCAAGTATGGAATTTGAACGTGTGATCTAAAGCAATTTTTGAACCCTATGTCACTTGAGTAGACTTTTTCCTAATATCAAGGAATTCAACAGCTTATATATAACAAAAAAAAATGTGTTTTCCTATTTGCATAGTATAAATTGTTGACAAAGGGATTTAATTGAATTCGCTTTCCTCCACTTAGCTCCACCACTGCTTAAAGAGGAAATTGATGAATTAACCAAAAGTAGGAAAAGCAATGGAGGTTAATTTGGTGAATACTCCAAGAAAAAAGCTTGGTGATATCAGCAACTTACCGCTGCGAAAGAGATTCACTAGCGAAGATAAGAAGCCAGAACATATCCCAACTGCTTCTAAAGAGTACATAGAAATGATCCAGAAGGTACACTTTTTGTGTTTGTTTACTGGTTTATTGTGTTTAATAAATGTATGGACTTAGCTTTAGCTTCGCTTAATTTACTTCATGGGAAATTTGATCCAGGAAAATTTAGTGTTGATGAAGATGTTAGCAGAAAGAAAGTATCCTTTATTTGCAGATGAATGACATTTGCTTTTCTGTTTTTGTACTATTTTTTTGTGAAATAGTTGTAGGTTGCCTTTTGTGCTTTTTAATAGTACTCATGCCTTATACTTGTGATTCGTTGCACTGTTCCTTGACTCTTGTTCTCTATAGCAAAATCATTGAAATAACTGGAGTAGAGATAGAGAAACTGAGAACTAATGTGCAGAAACTGCTGCAACAGAACCAGCAGCTTGCTCAAGCAAACAGTAAAATGCTTGCGGTTTGTTTACTCTTCCCGTTTCCAACCCTTTCAGGGTTTTGTTTCTTTAACTGAACATTTGATTTCCTTTCATGGTGCTAAAACTATTCGGTTTTCTTTTCCCCTCAGGAACTAAATTCAAATAAAGATAGGGTAAGCAATCTGATGCTTTCACCTGATATTCTTTTAAGGTTCAATTTCTCTATGATGTAAGTGGTATTTGGCTGATATCAGCTAAAAGCATTACAACATGAGCTTGGATGCACAAAGGGTTTACTTAAGGCTAGAAAGTTTGAAGCAGAGGTGAATCAGTTTAAAGTTTTCAAATTGATTTTGCTTAGAAATATGTCATTTCTTTCTTTTTGACCAAGGAAGTTTTCTTTGTTAATCAGGAGCAACCAAGAACTAATATGTGCCAAAATCTGAATGATGAGGTACATAGAAAATTTTTCGTTCTGTAATGTCGTCGAGTTCATGTTAAATAGACTTGTGCTGTCAGTATTCGAAGGTGAAACACACAAAGTGTGAGCAGACAGGAGATCTATTGTTAGGAAATGGAGATGATGACAAAGCTGTAAATCTCAAAAGAAGGCCTCGGTCAAAGAGTGAGTGTAACCTCCGGGTGTGATGTGATATTTGTTGAAGTACCCAGGAACTATTGTTTTGATATTATTTGCCCACCTCTGATGCATAGGTGTGGGCTCTTCTGAGCCAGTTCAATCTGAGGATAAGACGGAAAACAAAAGGTTAGGCTGTGCATGTTAAGCTGAGAATATATTGTTGGTTTCTGTAATGTTCAGATTCTAAACATTGTTAAGAGAATTTTCCTAGCGAATTTGTTGTCTTTGCAGACCTTGTATAAGGAGGCAATCTGCTCGGCTTAACCCTGAGGCGCTGAAACTCAATGAAGATTCTTTCGATGTGCAAGGCAAATGTGCTCTGCACCCTCCAACAAGTGATCCAGTGCAAGAAAATGGTTTGAATTCCATTAGCATATCATCTGATGGTCTAGAGTGCAATCCTTTATTGAGGTTTGAACCTGTACAGTTGGGATCATCTCTCCGTAGGCCATCAAGGGAGGCAGCTAAGAAGGTCCAGTCATACAAGGAAATTCCTGTAAACATAAAAATGCGAAGACCACAATGAACAACGTACTCGGTGTAATTACCTCTTTGATATCGGAGCAAGTGCTGAATGGTAAGATTCTTCATTGTATCTTTTTGTCAGGTTGAGTGTTATAATTTTTTGTTGAAATTTGTAGCTCTAATTCCATATCCACTCCTTCAAAGCTGTATTCCCCCTCCTCCAAAAATGTCATGACCTATCTGTCTCCAGAATAAATGTTCTTAATAAAAATGCTGCCTGCTGTACAATCCTGATTAGATGCTTCTCTTATGGTGATTGATGATGAAATGCTTTTGGCATCCTTACCACAGAAACCTAATGGTACTTATGCTCAGTGGCGGAGCCAGAAATTGATGTAAGGGGATTAAAAGAAAATACTAGAGTGACATAGTTGGGATTGGAACTTGTAACCTAAAACAACTTTTCAACCTTTTATATAGGCAAAATGGCCTGACCACTTAACCCAATTGCCAACCCGGTAAACGAACTTAGGAATTTCCCAGTTTAGCACCTTTACTTTATAGAATAAGGACTATAAACATATCTGTCTGAGCATGTTATTCAATCGTTGTGACATAAATGACATGTCATATGCATAACCTTTTATAATTTGACATGTGTAATTTGTAGGTCCCGCTTTTTAAACTCCAATTTATCAAATTTTTAACTTAATTTTTTTTTTCATCAAAAAAAGTTTTTTAACTTAATTTTTGTTCTTTCTCTTCTCCTCCACTACAACTTAGACCAGCAGAAACTCATAAACTAGCAAAAAACTCAATTTGGCTGGAAAATTCGCCGGTAATGTCTCTGGCTGGCGATGAATAGTTCGCTCTCCGTGTTTGTCGATTTGGTTAATTTCTAGTTAGTCACCATCTCCGCGCAAACACTTTTTTCCATTTAATTTCAACAACCTCAATCACCATCTCCATCGAAACGCTCCTTCCCACTAAGCCCATTGGCATAGAGCAAACAGATCAGAATTCAACCCCGTTGTTAATTTTTTTCTTAAAATAAAAAAGGAAAAGAGAGGACCATTGACCTAATCGGGAATAATGACCAGATCGAAGAAATTGATATTATTTCCTTCTGCCAAAATTTGTGTTGTGGGTTACCTTATCCTCTCTAGATCCTTATACTAAAAAAAAGGTCTATTTCCATTTCAATTAAAGGTTAATACCGAAAAGAACGAGAAGGATGGGATGAAAGATTTGGGTGATTGATGTGATACAAAAAAAAAAAGGAGAAGGGGTGGGGACGAAGGAGGTGGTAGGAAAAACACGGGAAAAAGGGTTCCTATCTATTCTTTTTATCTTTTGTTATATATTAATAGATTTTTATTTTTTTTAATTTTTTTTAAAATCTAAACTACTACATTCACGCTCTGCAGTTTCGCCATATCAGCAATATTTCCTCCACGTAAGCATGGTCACCGGTCAGAGGTGTTTATTAGTACTCATTCCGTCAAGTACAAGTGTTCAAATGGAAAACTTATAAGTTTATCTACCGGGTTGGCAATTGGATACAAGTTTAAGTGGTCCGGAGGCCATTTTGCCTTTTATATAACAAAAAACTTTTATTTTTACCCTATTTGTTAAGTATAGTTTCCCAACAAAGGGGATTCAATTGAACCTCCTTCTTTCTTACTAGTTCCGCCCCTGCTTTTACTGTCCATATCTCGGCTTAATAGAGGGAGTCTCCCTCCAATTTTGTTTGCTTCTAGAGTATAGAGATTAAGAATTCAACATAGAAAGGAAGTTGGAAGTTTCTCTGGTAATTTAGATGACGATTTTGTTGAGATTAAAGGCATATAGGTTAAAGGCTGAAAAAATCAAGCAGATACGTATTATATGAACAATAAGTTTAACGGTACCTTGTAAAAAAAAATATTTCAAGAGAAAGTTAGTGTAAATATCTGCTTCCTTGATCCATTTCATGCTACTGGATTTGATTTTGAAGGTTGAATTTCATGATTTTACCACTGAACTGTTGTTTTAGGTATTCTGGAAGATATCAATCACTATGAAAGATATAACATATCAATTCAGGGGCGGATTTACGCCTACCGAAGCGGTGTCACGCGACACCGCTTCGTCAAAATTTTTTACTAAATAAATGTATTAATACTGTACGAAAATGGATAAGTAGGAAAAAATAACACCACTTGACATAGATTGTGTCTTGGTGTGTTGGTTACATGCTTTATTTTGCTCTTAGAGGTCAAAGGTTCAAACCTCATCTAGCACATTTTTTTTTGCAAATATTTGAGAGTGCCTTTGTGGTTAAAATTGTAATGAAGTAGAAACCTTTTCTAACTTAAGACTCAACAAAACCACTAGATTAAGGCTATATCTGTCTAATAGTATTATAATCAAAGTTATATTCCAGTTTTTTTATAAATTTTGATACCGGTTACAAAAATTCTTGCATACGCCCCTACATATCATATCATGTAGTAAGTTATATTTTCTGTTGTCTTTTTCTTTTTCTTTCAGAACTCCAATTCATTTGCCTTGTAAAATTAGTTAATCTGACCTCAGAAGTCAAACTACAGAGAAAATGATATATCTGACCACATTGGGTTGATAAGTTAACCTTTCTCTTTTTTTTTTTTTTTTTCTGAAGCTAGTACCAAAAAGAAATTGAGGAAAAGCATTGCCCAACTATTATGTTGAGTGTTAAATGTTTCCTCACTAAAGAGTATCTCGACTTTTACCAGTTGGTTATGTAAAATATCACTAACAATACTGGACAATAGGGTGAAAATCATTTTCTCAACTCAACTTTATTTGTTTTGGAAATCAATTAGCAAACTTCACTAGTAGAAGTCTAGAAGTGAAGCCAATGCTACCAAGAAGTTTCGATCTCGGAAAACAAATCCTAGCAGATTCATTAGAGCAGTTGAGATAAAACTTAATCAAATTGTGCAAGTGAATTTGTTATAATCTTTGTCATCTTAGTTGTATCTATAAAGTGGCGTTTGGACCATTTTCTTAAAACGACTTTGAAGAAATTTTCTAAGAATGTTTTTAGATATAGTTTTCAAAATTTAGTATGATTATTTTATTGGTAAGTAAATCTAACCACATTTCCAAAAGATTTTTTACTCATTTTTTATATTTTATGCGGGGAGCGTTGCGACACTAGATTAACTACACATAAAAGGTGGCAATTTCAGTTAAAATCCATTCAACCCGCCAATCCGCTGGGTTGCTCATGGACCTGTCCATTGTTGAACTCGGTCGCTATTTCGTCCAAGCCCATCAAATGTTGGGTTGATTTTTAGCCCAAATTGATACACGCGTATCTTTGCTAAAATATCTTTAAAATATTTTTTTATTTGATATGTTATATATGACCATAATAAAGAAAAAATATCTTATTTGGTAATTAAACAATTCATAAGAAAATAACAAACATTTATTAAAGCTTGGTAAGAGTTTGGATTGGACTATGAACTAAATTTTAGCCCATCTTGACCCAGCTCATCTCAACCCAAATAACTTTAAGAGAAATTTTCATAAAGCACTATCTTTTAGTAGTAGCCATCTATAGATACCATTTGCTATATTACGGATTATAGATACCTTTTCTGTGGTTATAAGATGTATTTGATGTATTTAAGCTGTTTTATTCATGAATACAACAACAAAAATAGGCGTGAATCAGGGAAGTCCAGCTAATCAGTTGTTGTATTCGAATGTATTCGAGTGTATTCGTGGAGTAAAATATGGGATTACAGCTGGACAGATTATTGTATTCGACTATATTCGACTGTATTCACGGCGTCAAATAGGGGATTAAACTGTTTTTAAAACGGAAAGTGAATCAATTAACATAATAGACTCCTAATATAACTCAACAAACTCAATTATAGCACACAAATTTTGTATTTTTCTGTTATAAAAAAGATTCTCAACCGAAAAATACCCCAAAAATATAGCAATCTTCAGAGAAATTATATAATACATCGAATACATAAATTATATTAATTAAGAAACCATATGAATACATTCATGGCATATAGCGAGACAGTGAATACAATGAAATACATAGAATACAACGGGATACATTGAAATACAATGAGAAAAAAACACTGAATACAATGAAATACATGGAATACAATGAGATACATTGAATTACAATGAAAAAAAAGATAGTGAATACAATGAAATACATAGAAATATAGCGAGATACATTGAAATGCTCTTAAAAAAAAGTTAACAGAATCTTCAAATTGCTCAACCCCAAACTTCAGATGACCTATTTTAGTTGACGATTTTCCGACGACCCATCGGATTCCGACCATGATTCCATAAGCAGTGATGAAAGAAAGAAGAAGAAAACGACAAATATCGCTAAAGAAGAAATTGCTAGCATCCGTAACGCATCTGAAGAAGTTAAAGTCCCAGAACTGAATTTGGCTAGCACCCGCTGATAACGAATCAGAAGTTTGCCAAGAAGTTAAAGTCCCGAAAAATTCCTTGCCATGGAAAGGAAGAACAAGAAGAAACATACTGGCAGAAGAAAACAATCAAAATCGGAAAGGAAGAAGAAGAAGAAACATACTGGAGTTGGCCATGGAGATTTCGTTGCCTTCATTAGGGCAAGCCAGAGAGGCTGCGTATTTTATGAGAGAGAGGCAGCGTATTTTATGGCTTAAGGGTAGGAGGTGACCATAAATAGGTATTTGGCTATAAAAATCAAAAGGTAGTTATAGAATATACTTTTTTAAAATGATATTTATTTAAAATAAATAAGGTATCAACCTTTGCTATAGAAGGTAACTAATCCTAACTTTAATGACCTGCCTATTTATTTTAAGCCCATTTTGACCCGACTGAGACCCGCCCATTTATTGATTCTGCCCATTTTAACCCTCCCCCCTACAAATCAGTTTAACTCGCCCATTTGACACTCTTAACTACACATCAGTCTCCATTGAGACATGTTAAAAGGTTCTACGAAATTCGAAATTTTATTAAAAGAAATGAAAGTTTTGTTTAAAATAAATACCAAGAAATTAATTAAGACGAGTTTGTATAATCACACAATAAAATAGTGAATGCACACTTGATCTTAACTTAGTGAAGCCAGCGTGGGGCAAGTGCACGGATAGTCATAGGGATGCTATTTAAGGATCAGCCAATACTTATTTTGTCCTAAAATTTTAAGCTAAAAATCTTAATTTCAAGATAACTCAAAATATTTTTATCCTGAAAAATTAAATTGAAAAAGTGAAGTTCAGGACGCACTGGCTAATTTCTAAATAATAACCCTTAAGAGTGGCTACCTGGTGTCATTTCTACGGACAGTGTCGTCACTCTCACAAAGAACTTTATCCTTTCTTCTTCAAAATCATATGAGGATTATCTCTTTCTTTCTCTTCCAGACTTAATTAAATAAATATGATCCTTTTTAATAGTTAAAACTTTTAGATAGATATCATACTATTTAGCACATTATCTGAGGAGGCATATTTCTATTTTTAATTTTGCATTTTCAGAAAAAGATTAGGCACGCACATTGAATGCACGGGCGCACCTAGCTTCTAAGAACCTTACATTTATATTAAGAAATCACTAAATATCTAGTATAATGTTTGAATGAGATCCTAATTATTATTATATACTAACTTGAGATTGTTATAGAAACTCTTAAACTCCAAATCCTGAATCTGTCTCTGCATATTGAGTGGAATATTGCGAGCTTAAATAAATGAATAGATATGTGACATCTTTAACCACTTAATTAAGTTTCTACCTGAGATTGTTTAAATAATTCAAGTTTTTTCTTTTCCAATTTATTTAACATCACTACTCTTTCATCTACGTGAGTTGATAGCGACAAATTGAAATAGAAAATTGCAAAAATAGCAAAATATATAACAAGTCACATTCGGATAAAGACCGCTAATTATGGCCATGAGAGGAATATTCAAAAACGGTGATAGAACCTTCCAAGAGTTTAAAGATATCATAAATCAATCCAAATCATAACACAAAATTGACACACAAAAGAGAAACCAAGAAAATATTTAGTGTAGGAAAAATAATAAAATTTCACATGCAGCTCATGACAAATGTGAAGTTGACATATTTTTTTCTATAATCCCACATCATCTATCATTTTCTTATACAGTACACAAAACCGTGTTTTTGCACGAACTTAAAAGTATTAGTGAAAGCATGACTTTTTATTTTCTTTTCTTTTGCTTGAATAAAAAATGAAGATATGATCTTTTGCTAGCTGCCTTGTTAAAAAGACCTTATCCAAAAACGGTGCATGAAGTTTTCTTAAATTGAGTAACGTGAAAATAGATGGAATGCACTAAGATTAATTATACGACAAAAGAATTGAGTGGGTTTTGGACCAATTAATAGCATCCTTTGAAGCTTTGACAAACCAAAGAAAAAGAAAAGTAATATTGTATACCACAAAGATAGATATCGATTAATTATAAAAAGAAAAAGGAAAAAGTACAAATAATTAGACACGGATTGAAAACAAGTTTTTCGAATTCAATTCAATTCATTACTTTCAACTCAAACTATATATACTTGCACAAAAAAAATTAAAGTGCAAGTGTACATTTAGTTAATAAGATCACACTAGTTCCGAACTAGTGGCA